GCCCACACCTTTATACTTATTTAAAATCCGACGGTTGAATTTTTTCCTCTATGTCTTAAGACTATATAGCAGAAGTTTGAAAGTGATTGGTGAAAAGGGCGACGGAGTATCACTCTCCAAACAACGTGTGTGAAAACCACTAAATCGCGCACTTGGACCAAAATGGCCGACTTCCTGTGTGACTTTGCACTTGGCTCCAAGAGACTTTTTTGTAGGTCCTGAGACACCACATTAGTGTACCAAATTTCGTAATCCTCAGTCAAAGCATGGCTTGGGGCTGACAGTTTTAATGGTCCTAGGGGGCGCTATTTCAGAAAATAGGCCACGCCCACCAGATGTTCACATCAGATCTTTTGGGGGGCCGGACTAGGATCACTCACAAGAAGTTTCGTGACGATATCTTTGGAAATGACGAAATGGGAGGCAAACGTAAGGCCACGGCGGTACGCCTGAATTCGCCGCGCCGCCACAGCCCCGCCCTCTGCCGAAAACTCCCATAAAGTGACGCCAAGCAACCCCCACTTGTCTTGAGTTACCAGCTACAAATTTGTGGTGATTAAGTGAAATGGGGCAATTTGGGACCTTTCACAGTAAAACTTGATCTTTTTGGTCCTGAGGGGGCGGGGCTTGTGTGATGTCATCATCCGACCATTCAATTTACTTTGTGGGTGGATGACGAATGACCACAGAAAGTTTGGTAACTCTATTCCATTCAGTTATGAAGTTATAGCAATTTAAATATTTTTGGCGAGTAGTCAAACTTCGAGGCCTGGCCCCGCCCCTTCAACATATACGAAAACTCAGAATTCTCATCTCATTTTGTTCGCCCATCCCTTCTTAGCAATTTTACACAATTTTTGAGACGATCGTGCGAAAAATGATCGAGCAATCCAATCAGGAACGGACCCTAAAAATGGCAAAAACTGCAAAAAATCGCCATTTCAACCCAAAATGGCCGACTTCCTGTTTGATATTGACCATGGTTGCAAGAGACTTTTCTGTGCGGACTGTTGAGTACTACAAGTGTACCAAATTTCATAACTGTACGATAAACTAAGCTTTATTGAGAGGGCTTTTTTTCACTTTCTAGGGGGCGCTGTTCAGCCAATTTCTCTGCGATTTTTTTGGGACCTTTAAAATATCAAATTTTTCACCAGGCCTGACAAGTTTGCAAAATATTGTGAGTTTTGGGGTATGTTAAGGTCCCCAAAAAGCCGTTCAAAGCGGGCTAAGAATAATAAAAAATAATAATAAACAGAGCAAAAACAAGAGGCCTTCGCAGCGCTTTGCTGCTCGGGCCTAATTAAAGCTGCAAGCAGCGTCGTTCGGCCCTCGCAGCTCCGCGCCGCTCCGGCCTGGCCGGCAGCCCGGGGCACCAGGGCACGTCCGCAGAACACAAACGTCGACCACCCCAACACCAGAAACTGCTAACGGCCACCTTGTCCGCAACTCACCCTGACTCAGCATCCCCTTTGAGCCCACCATTATATTTTATGTCTCACCACTAGGGAATCCTCTATCTTTACCACACTGGTGGTGTGATGACAGTGACCAACTTTAATGCTATTCTGACCATGTTTTTTAAAGTTATCGAAGGATAACGTTATCTAGGTGGCGCTGTGACCAACTACAGAAAAGTCCCATTGAGGTCAGCTTTGGTGACATTATATAACATTCACCAACCGTTTGTGCCTCATTGGCTAAAGGGCATGATTGTTCATTGCCATATTCAGTTTCGGGCAAATCGGAGGCCGTTTGTGGAAGTTACAGTCAAATGTAAGGTCATGGCGTCACGCCAGCATTCACCATGGCATCAAAGCCCCTCCCTTTCTGGAAAGCTATCAGATCTGAATGGTCTTTAAAACATCATGAAGACACTGTATGACCTGAGTGTCATTTTCATTAAATTAGAGGGGACAAATATGGGCATTTCACCATAAAACAATAGACTTCCTGTTGTCAGGGGGCGGGGCTTAGGTGATGTCAGCTGTCCACATTGTCGTTGTCTTGAGATGTGGTCAGTGATCACACAGACAAAGTTTGAATTAGATCTGATCATGCACATGGGAGTTATTAAGTCAAGTAATGTCATGGCGAAAGGTCAAAGTTTGAGGCTTAGCCACGCCCACACCTTTATACTTATTTAAAATCCGACGGTTGAATTTTTTCCCCTTTGACTTAAAAGTACATAGCATAAGTTTGAAGGTGATCGGTGTAAAGGGCAACGGGCCATCAATGTCCAAACAACGTGTGCGAAAACCACTAAATCGAGTACTTGGACCAAAATGGCCGACCTCCTGTGCGAAATTGCGCTTGGCTCCAAGAGACTTTTTTGTAGGGCCAGAGACCCTACATGAGTGTACCAATTTTCGTAATCCTCAGTCAAACCTTGTCTTGGGGCTGACAGTTTTAATGGTCCTAGGGGGCGCTATTTCAGAATATAGGCCACGCCCACAAATCTCAGATGCCCATTTCTATTGGGGGTCAGACTAGGATCACTCACCAGACATTTTGTGGCGATGTCACGATAATTGAAGAAATGAGAGGCAAACGTATTGCCATGGCGTGATGGCGAATTTCGCCATGCTCCCAAAGCCCCGCCTTTTTTCAAAACCTGCCAGTACTGTAGACCAAGTGACCTCAACTTGTCAGCTGCTATTTACCAGAGATTCCAGGTGATTGGGTAAAAGGAGTCCAATAGGGAGCTGTGAAAAAAAGAGTGGCGTGGCGAAAGGTCAAAGTTTGAGGCTTAGCCACGCCCACACCTTTATACTTATTTAAAATCCGACGGTTGAATTTTTTCCTCTATGTCTTAAGAGTATATAGCAGAAGCTCGAAGGCGATTGGTGAAAAGGGCGACGGAGCATCACTCTCCAAACAACGTGTGTGAAAACCACTAAATCGCGCACTTGGACCAAAATGGCCGACTTCCTGTGCGACTTTGCACTTGGCTCCAAGAGACTTTTTTGTAGGTCCTGAGACACCACATTAGTGTACCAAATTTCGTAATCCTCAGTCAAAGCATGGCTTGGGGCTGACAGTTTTAATGGTCCTAGGGGGCGCTAATACAGAAAATAGGCCACGCCCACAAACTTAAGCTGACCTTTTCTATTGGGGGTCAGACTAGGATCACTCACAACAATGGTCGAGGTGATATCACGATAAATGAAGAAATGAGAGGCAAACGTATTTCCATGGCGTGATGGCGAATTTCGCCATGCTCCCAAAGCCCCGCCTTTTTGCAAAACCTTCCAGTACTGGAGACCAAGTGACCTCAACTTGCCTGCTGCTATTTACCAGAGATTCCTGGTGATTGGGTGAAAGGAGTCCAATAAGGAGCTGTGAAAAAAAGAGTGGCGTGGCGAAAGGTCAAAGTTTGAGGCTTAGCCACGCCCACACCTTTATACTTATTTAAAATCCGACGGTTGAATTTTTTCCTCTATGTCTTAAGACTATATAGCAGAAGTTTGAAAGTGATTGGTGAAAAGGGCGACGGAGTATCACTCTCCAAACAACGTGTGTGAAAACCACTAAATCGCGCACTTGGACCAAAATGGCCGACTTCCTGTGCGACTTTGCACTTGGCTTCAAGAGACTTTTTTGTAGGTCCTGAGACACCACATTAGTGTACCAAATTTCGTAATCCTCAGTCAAAGCATGGCTTGGGGCTGACAGTTTTAATGGTCCTAGGGGGCGCTATTTCAGAAAATAGGCCACGCCCACCAGATGTTCACATCAGATCTTTTGGGGGGCCGGACTAGGATCACTCACAAGAAGTTTCGTGACGATATCTTTGGAAATGACGAAATGGGAGGCAAACGTAAGGCCAAGGCGGTACGCCTGAATTCGCCGCGCCGCCACAGCCCCGCCCTCTGCCGAAAACTCCCATAAAGTGACGCCAAGCAACCCCCACTTGTCTTGAGTTACCAGCTACAAATTTGTGGTGATTAAGTGAAATGGGGCAATTTGGGACCTTTCACAGTAAAACTTGATCTTTTTGGTCCTGAGGGGGCGGGGCTTGTGTGATGTCATCATCCGACCATTCAGTTTACTTTGGGGGTGGATGACGAATGACCACAGAAAGTTTGGTAACTCTATTCCATTCAGTTATGAAGTTATAGCAATTTAAATATTTTTGGCGAGTAGTCAAACTTCGAGGCCTGGCTCCGCCCCTTCAACATATACGAAAACTCAGAATCCTTATCTCATTTTGTTCGCCCATCCCTTCTGAGCAATTTTACACAATTTTTGAGACGATCGTGCGAAAAATGATCGAGCAATCCAATCAGAAACGGACCCTAAAAACGGCAAAAACGGCAAAAAATCGCCATTTCAACCCAAAATGGCCGACTTCCTGTTTGATATTGACCATGGTTGCAAGAGACTTTTCTGTGCGGACTGTTGAGTACTACAAGTGTACCAAATTTCATAACTGTACGATAAACTAAGCTTTATGGAGAGGGGTTTTTTTCACTTTGTAGGGGGCGCTGTTCAGCCATTTTCTTTGCGATTTTTTTGGGACCTTTAAAATATCAAATTTTTCACCAGGCCTGACAAGTGTGCAAAATATTGTGAGTTTTGGGGTATGTTAAGGTCCCCAAAAAGCTGTTCAAAGGGGGCACGGAATAACAAAAAATAATAATAATCAGAGCAAAAACAAGAGGCCTTCGCAGCGCTTTCGCTGCTCGGGCCTAATAATAAACAGAGCAAAAACAAGAGGCCTTCGCAGCGCTTTGCTGCTCGGGCCTAAAAAACAATGTCTGGAGAGAAATGCCATTTTTAGACAACGGTAAGTCCAGACTAGCCACTGGCTCATCCAGCCTAAGGATGTGAACCTTTTCCCCAAACTGAGGCAATAAAGGAAGTTATATATAACAGGTGAAACAATATCTACACACTTTAAAATGGCTAATTTGTCCCCTCATGCTTACAACTATTTTCCTTAACGTGTTCCAGTGTTCTTCAGATAAATGTGTTGGAAAGCAAACTGGGCTGCTCACATTTGCCAGTGAAACCTGCAGAGCTTGGAGCGGTAGAAGGGCCATTTCTGGGGTGAGCTCCTCCACGTTCCTCAGTGACAGACAGGTAGTGTTGCCGTAATCCAGCCTCCTAACCTCCACCTTTATGGAGGACTCGCTCCCTGCGCCATCTGCAGCACTGTTGTCTTTAGTCCCCAAAGAAAAGAAGTTAGTCTGAAAGTGGTCAGCGTCAGAAAAAGGGACAATGCTGCCATCTAGAGGCTGTAAGCTGGACCCACCTCGGCTCACTCCACAGATCTTCATCACTTCTGCCCTGCACCACTGCTCCTCCCAAGGGAACCAACACAGAACTTTAGTTCCTATGTCCGGGATGCAGTTCTGCTCAGCATGTGAACAGGTGACTTTACAACTACAGCAAAGGGAGAGAAAGTAAATACCAACACACCAAGACTGTTAGGAAAATAGAAAAAAAGAGTTTAAAGAAAAGCAGGAATGAACAAAATGGAAAAGGGGGGTTAACGTTTAATGGGATTGGAGCATGGGGGTGGGGGTGAATGCAATCTTACTCTCGGAGTAGTGCCTGCAGCTTCTCCACAGAGTCTGCATACTGGATGTAGAAGTTGCCAGGACTGACAATATGAGACACCACTACTTCAGCCTCGTCAAACTTCCGGATCTGGAACTCAGGGATGTTTACGCTTGTAGCTGTCGACCTTTCTGAAAGAGCGAATTTGTTCTGTGGTTTAGGTTCTGAGCACTGCAGAGCTTTGGTTTTCCAGCCCATGTTTATGCACAAGTTCTCCACCTGAGCAATGGTATTTAGGCAGTTTTCACTTTCCAAGGAAGCAAGCACAGAGTCTTCCAGTAACACCTCTGTGAAGACATCTCCAATATCCCATAATTCAGTTTCTGTGGCAATCACACAGCTGTAGATCAAAGAGCCACTTGACTTGACCGTTTTCACTCTGAAGACAGGGGCTTGGCTTCCAACATTTGCGTGCAATGTTCTTGGAGAAAGTTCACCGACTGAATCATCAGTCACAACATGTCTGAACTTGTGGTTTGGTGTTTTGACAGTAGGCGACACTCGCTGTGGCCAATCGGGATTGCTTGCCTTGTATTTGCTCTCAGACCACTCCAAACCTCGGACTATGAGTACACTTTTGTTTTTAGCTTTTGGTCTGAGGAAGTGCTGCAGATGCAAGGATGTTTGTTTTTGGTGTTGCACCTGGATGTCCTCATCACGCCCCCAGATCAACATCGGTTTATGGTTACTGACCTCAGGGAATACAGCTTGTAGGGGAGGAAGGAGTATGTTTGACGTCTCTTCATTCAGCTTGCTGCTCTGAACAACAGAAGGTTGGATGCTCGTGGCATCTGCTTGGCCTTTATCTTTGAAAACAAGCTGTTCTTCTGCTTTCAAGTGACAAGAGGAGCCTGTGGTCAAAGTGTTGTTGTTAAAGTTGGTTGACTTGCTGCCTGATGGGTCACTTGACTGCACAACATGCTGGGAGCTGAGGGGACGTTTCTGCTGCTGATGGGTCACAGGGGCTCCAAAAACCTGGACTGCTTTTGGTAAAGAACACATCATGAAGAGGTTCTGCAACACTGGCCCAAACCTGACAACACCCATTATCGGGTTCCTGTAGTTGACTTTAAGAGGTTTGGGGTGGTTCGTTGCGATTGCAGTCCAGATGGAAAGTTCAGCACCTTAAACAGAGTGGAAAACAGAGGTTTATTCATTAAAGATGAATATTTCTCAAATGAAACACTTTCCAACCAATTTCATCTTCTATTTTATTGGTTCCAATTTTTTCCATGAGGACCCCCTTGTCTATAGGGAGCCTAAGTCTCCTCCCTTCCTTGTGTGCTCACGGGTCCCCAGAAGAATGAAAAAAGGAATGCAAGTGAACGGGGCTAAAAGAACTGTTTTTTAGTCCGCTTTGCCTTAGGCCCAGAATCACACATATGTACTTCATTGTACTACTACACTATACTTCAATTTAAATGAAAAGCAATGTGTGTTTTGACCACGACTGTCACGTACTTTGAGATTTATCAGCTTGTCAATTTTTGTAATTCCTATGACTACAAATCAGACGTCTGCCTGTCGCATATATGACGGAATCCACTCTGCCCTAGCATAGTTGCTACTTACTACATGATGAGATTTATGGTGGTTATTTCCACCTGGACGTATTTGGAATCATAGGATGTCTACGGATGATTACGCCTTTCGCGCCTCTGATTGGCTAGGTGGGGTCTCCTATGAATGGCTATTTCATTTAGCAGCAAACATCTTCCCTCGCAGCAGGGATTTTTTGTCTGCAGCCAGATCTTGAGTTTTCAAAAGAAAATGTGGACTTCGTAGGAGAGCCCTTCTAGCCAATCAGTTACGAGAAAGGCAGGATCTTCCTTGGAAATCCTACAATTTCAAATGACATCTCCTGTACAATGGATTTGAAGTTTGTTAAACTTAGAACTATTTTTCCTCTACTCTTCATGTCTGGTTCGAAGACGTCAATTTGGTGATGCACATTTATAATCCTGGACGTATTTTCACACAAACCTAAAATAACTTTTGACTCCATTCAATGATGAGTGCTTTCATGGCATCATAGTCTGTCTAACAAACAGGATTAGCAAATAGCTTTTATAGCCCCAGAGACTTGCATTCATTTTGTCGTTCTTCTGGGGACCTATTTCCCGCAAGTAGATTGGCGTGACTTAAGCTCCCTATGCCCCAAAAAAAAAATCTGCCTGTTATTGGGATTGTATAAATCTAAATGTGATGTTCACAAATACAATTCATGTACCCTCACAACCTCGGTAAACAAAATTGCCCCCCCCCCCCCCCCCCCCCCCCGGTGGTCACGGACCCCAGGTGGGGAACCACAGTTCTGTATTATTGATAGCCAACAGATAAGCATTTTCTTGAACTTACCAGCTGTACGGGTCCTTAGCAAAGATGAAAGCTTCTCAATTGCTTGACTTGTTTCATCTAAAGTCTTTAGAAGATCAGTGAAGACAGCCGCAGGAAAAAATGAATTGAAGATGTCAAAGACATCTTTATAAACCTGGTGGACAAGTAGAAAAATGCTCGAGTAAAAACTAATAAACTGTCTTGAGCAAGATGTCTTTTTAATTGAAATCAGCCAATCCAGAGTGCTTCTTGAGTTACATGATAAATGACCCACACTTGTATAGTGCCTTTCAGTCAGAAGACTCCAAAGCGCATTGGCAAAGTAAAATTTCAGAGTAATTTTTGGAGAGTGGGGGGGAGGGGGAATGAAAAAAAATCTGCTGTTTTGCAACTTGCAGCATCATGTTCACTGAGTAACAAGCCTGTCCGAGGTGAGATGTCAGAATATCAGGAAATAGATCAGAGTAAGACTCCAAATCCTGATCTGTTTTGCTCCCCTCTCCTCCAACTAACTCTGGTTCCTGAAACAGGAAGACCAAAGCTTTATCCCACAGAGATGGACTCACGAGACATTCTAGACAGATGAGGCATACTTTAGACCACTGCAGATGTGTTGGAAAGAAAATAATTTAAAAAGTGAACTTGGTTTTTCAATACATAGACATGGACTTTTCGAAACTGTGGTGGTGGGCTTTGGGGGTGGGTGGGTGTTACAAGGACTCACATCACCTATCTATCAGCAGTAGATAGTTACAGCTACATGTCACAAATGTCTCCCAGGAACTTTTAGTTATAATTAATGTAAAATAATTTAAGTTCCATCTAGGGTCTGTCAGTTATTAATATTAATATTACCAGTTATTGTATTTTGCCAAGCAAAAGTAATCTATAATGTTAAGCTAACTTCACGATGTAATTGCATCCACTACACAGACGATTATGTTCATGTGGGTCATCAGCATGAAGTTATTGAAGTTATGAAAGCAAACATGGCTGGAATCAGTTTTTACCTGTAATCTTGTTATTATTCTCTAAGTGTATGTGCTGCTGTGATGAGTGAATGTCCCCACTGTGGGATTAATACATCTAATCTGTTCTATTCAATACATTTTTATCTGCAAGTGGGAAAATTTTTTTTGAGAAATTTTGACATTTCCGTGCTTCCGTACAAATAACCTGGATGCAGAGGAGGGGTTCGTCTTCTCAACAGAAAAAACACACTGTAATGTTTTAATTCACTGCCTAACCAACTAATGTAGGAGAGGGACATGTGAGTGAGTCACCACGGTAGGAAGCCCAGCTTGCTGTGAGAGTAGCGAGCAATCTGTGGCTGATGAGTGAAAACAAGACACAAAACACATTCGGGACTGAAGCAACGTCTAAACCGGCTGGCGACATGGCTGCATTTCTAAATAAAATCTTATAATTTTGGCAGCTCACAGTTCTGGGAGAGAGAACCGGGCCTGCCCGTCCCATTTCACAGTCAGAGCGGAGAGAAGCACATCGGCTTGGGTTACACAGATGGGGTTGTGTGTGAAATAATGCCAGTTAAATAATTACCTTAGTGTTGATGGTGTGCATGTTGCCCAGTAGCTGACGCTATAATTACTTAGCGATTTGCTGCTATGCTAGCGACATGTTGCTCCGTCTTTAAGCGGCTATTACATGTATTCTCACAAATTTGCTCAATCTGAGAGCCGCTGGATAAATGTGCGGCACTAAATTTTGTATTTGGTGTAGAGGCCGACTGATATGTTTTGTTTTTTAAGGCCAATGCCGATTTTTAAAGAATTGTGTTGCTGGTAGCTGACAGAGAGAGATAGACCGATCGACACACACACACACACACACACACACACACACACACACACACACACACACACACACACACACACACACATTCAATTCAATGATACATTTTTAATCCCAGAAGGAAATTAGAGTTTCAGTACACACAATTCTGAGATCAGACATACATAGGCAAAGACAAATGAGAAGAACTGGTGACTGTGGTCATTCGCAGCCCGAGTCGCGCTACCTTAATAGAGATCAGAGGGGTTTACATGAGGATTGGGTCAGGTGGAGGAAAAAAAGGCACTTCAGAGTTACCCTCCACAGGGAGGGCAGCTTTGCTATGCAAAAAACACCTCAGACAGAAATGCAACAGACTTCAGAAATAACACAACGTGTGTCCACTAGGCGGGGTGGTAGGGTTTGGGACTCTCCACAGGTCAGTGAATGCAGCTGCGATAAGCAGAGCTCGTCACCTCAGTCCGGACAGGGGTGGGAGGTCGTTGGGTTTAGAGGGCACAGTGACTCCTGGAACGATTCAGCGGCCTTCACAGCTCGCAGTCCCGCCCAGGCTGGGATAGGGAGACAGAGTTGCCATGGCGACGGCAGCAATCCACAATTCTTTTGTGGGGGGGGGGGGGGGGGGGGGGGGGCACCAGATTCAGATAAAAAATTGTTTTGGGGCCAGACAGAAATAATTTCCTCTCTGTCTTAAAGTTCCATTGGTCTTCAACCCCTCTGAATCCAATAATGGCGTAAATTAATCTATACCAATCCATGCTGATTCGTCCACTCGCTCCTTGATCACATCTAGAACTGAAACAACTAATCGATTTAATCAATTATAATCGATTATTAAAATAGTTAACAACTTTTTAGTGATCGATTAGTTGTTTAATAATCACATTTTACCGCATGAAGTCTATTTTTACCACAATCTGACATCGGTTACAATCTGTTAAATTTGCCGCCAGTGTGTGGCAGTAATGAGCCACTGATCTACCAGTGGAGCCGTAGAAGAAGAAACGAGCCAATAAGCGCCCTCGGTTTTCATGACGTAACACGTTACTGACGTGCATCTTGCTGTGAGAGATGGCGGAACAAGAAGAAATACGGAAGAAACATAGAAGCGACAAAACTGAAGGGAAACCCCGGACGACAACCTCACGAGTATGGGAGCACTTCACTCTAGATGCCATGAAAAGACGGGTGACCTGCAAAATATGCAAAAACCATCTAGCATGGCACGGAAGCACGACGTCCCCAAGTGAACATTTGAGACAAAAACATGTGGGGGCTGATGCAGCAGAGGAAGCGCCAGCCCGGTAAGTGACAGAAAATAAACAAGCTAATTATAGTGGTCCATCACTACACGCAGGTCAAATTTGGGACTTAAGTCTGATTTATGCTTCTCCGTCTGCGTCAGTGCGGAGACACGCAACGCCATTATCCATCCTTGCGTAGGGCACGCAAGTACGTACGGAGTCGGGCCCACTTTTTTAAACATCCGTTGAAGGAAACAGATTATGCAAGCTTGTGATTGGTCAGGACGCCGCTGTTGTTTACAGCGCCGCCATTGCAAAGAGAGCCGAGGATAACTAGCGGCAGACACGGAGAAGCTTGAAGAATACCTCGCGAAAAAACTCTAAAAATATGAATGTTTCATCCTCCCGTGACTGGAGGAGTGAAAAGATGCGCAGCAAGCGTTTTATTTGTGGACGGAAATGACAGGAAATGTGGGTTTAGAGGTGGTGAGCGCATGAAGAGGTGGGAGAATGAGAGACAAATATGTCCATGTTAAAAAGTCTCTTATATACACAAAAAACACAATATAAACACACCATCTTGGACCGATACATGACAGGATACCACAGAACAGCGCTACGCCCTCTGTTGTCCTGCCAGGCAATTGCTTTGCAACGCTCTCCAGGAGACGGAGAAGTATGAGAGCAAAACGCTTCCATCAGTCCGTGCGTGTCTGTCCCTTGCGGAGCTGATGGAGAAGCATAAACCAGGCTTTAGTGTTTTAGCTGAGCTCGTTATAGTGGATGTCAAACATTTTTTTTGCCGCGTCAGTCTATGGTGTTCTACTTCTGATTGACTAGATGCAATCGTGAATCTCCTCCGTGTTGTGAATCATACGCTTGCCAAATTTAGCACGTCTGTTTATAAGAATGTTCTCGTTAAGAGAAAAACGGCACAAACCCGTAACTATGTTCCTCATTCAAAAAAGGACAACTCCGCGGAGAAAAATATACAGACGAGCTGTGTCCAGGTGAATATAACGCGGCATAGTTGTATGCTTTCAATTTTTAAATACAGGAGAAATTCAGAAAGTCACTGTTTTTTTACTATTAAAAGGCTGTTTTACTGTCTGTAAGGCTGTAAAACGCCTCACAACATATTTTTGTCAAAATAAATGATCACTGTATATTGTTAATTGATTCAAATAATATAATATTGATTTAGTGTTGTAGTGTGTGTGCTGCTTTATTTTATATGTGTACTTATTTCAGTCTATTTGTGTTTCTCATGCAGAACAGTGTTTCCCCTAGGAATTTTTCCAGCTGTGGTGGTGTTGGCGGGGGGGGGGGGGGGGGGTGTGTGTGTGTGACACGTCTCACCTTTATGTTTTATTTGATGCACTCCACTTTGAACTGCACCAATCCAGCGACTGCTGCATTGTAATAACTAGTATTAAAGGTAAGTACACCAATATTTGCACAATAATAATTTCTGTTTTAAACTCTCAGTGACACACTTTGCAGGGTGGATTTGGCATTTAATTTTTCTTGGCGTCTGGAAAAACATCTTTTGCCCCCTTTATTTGACTCTCTGCCCCCTTTATTTTGGTCCAAGATCATTACTGGGCTGGCCCTAATAAAAACGTTCTACACCCCTGCTTAGTAGACTTAATGGAGTATTTTTAAGCCAGTATAAAAATGACTGAAACACAAATTTACTATTTGGCATTATTGACCAATATTTTTGATTTGATTTATTTGTTAAGAACATCAAGATGCATTACAGTGAACATTATAATAAGCTGGGCGGACACTGTGTGACTTTTTCACTTGTAACACAGCTTCAGCTCAAACTGTACGACTTCAGCGCAGGGTAGATCTCACGAGTCATGTGCTCACACTGTACGTCTGGTAGCAACACGTCGGACCTAAAATATGCTAAAAATAGCAGTTTTTACACAACACGTCAGACTTTTTTGTCATTTTGCCTGTTGTCCTTCGGGAGTGCTGCAGGAGGACACACAGGGATTTATGGGGGTTGGATGAGGAAAACGAAATAAAGAAAGTAAATCTGTGTTTAGTGATCAGTTTAATTTGACATGAACACGACAAACACACT